AGCAGAAGAACATAAATTATGAGATTTCATGGACATTTATTAGTTCCCCAAATTAATACTTTTATAATTTCTTACACCTGTCTTTGCTGTAATCTCTGAACATAAATTGTGAAGATTTCATGGACACTTATGACTTCCCCAATCAATACCCCTGTGTTTTCCTATGCCTGTCTTTACTTCAATCTCTTAATCTCGTCATCTCCTTTGTAAGCTGAGGAGGATGAATATTGCTTCAGGACCCTGTGATTGTGTCAACTGCACAAATTGTTTGTAGAGCACGTGTGTTTGAACAATATGAAATCTGGGCATCTTAAAAAAAGAACAGGCTAACAGCGATGTTCAGGAAACAAGAGAGGTAACTTTGAACTGGCTGCTGGTGAGCCGGACGGAACAGAGCTATATTTCTCCTTTTTCACAAGCAAATAGGAGAAACATCGCTGAATTCTTTTTCTCACCAAGGAACATCCCTGAAAAAGAGAATGTGCCCTGAAGGTAGGCCTATAAACGGCTCCTTTACAAGCGTGTGCCGTCTTTTATGGTCGAAGCCGAAGGGATGAAATAAGCCCCGGTCTCCTGTAGTGTTCCCAGGCTTATTAGGACAAGGAAATTCCCGCCTAATACATTTTGGTCAGACAGGTTATCTGTTCTCAAACCCTGTTTCCTGATAAGATGTTATCAAGGACAATGTGTGCCCAAAACTTCATTAGCAATTTTAATTTCACCCCATCTGGTGGTCCTGTGATCTCGCCCTGCCTCCATTTGCCTCACAGGGTATTTTATTACCCTGTGAAGCCTGTGATCTCTGTGACCCACACCCTATTTGTGCACTCCCTCCCCTTTTGAAAATCACTAATAAAAACTTGCTGGTTTTATGGCTCGGGGAACATCACGGATCCTGCCGACATGTGATGTCTCCCCCAGACACCCAGCTTTACATTTCTCTCTCTTGTGCTCTTTCCCTTTATTTCTCAACCCAGCCGAGACACTTAGGAAACAGAAAAGAACGCGCGTTAAACATCAGGAGTGGGTTCCCCCCATTGGTAGTGGTCGGCATGGGGGTGGGGGTGCATGCACTCTTCTTTTCTTTAAAGCACAGACGTGAAAAGCCAAACAGCCTCTGCAGCCTCTCATCTCACAAGCAAGGAAACTGAGGCGCAGAGAGCACATGGGATCAGCCGAAGGGCACACGGTGGCTGAACCCAGCTCAAAACCCAGATTGTTGATGTGTTAGGGAAGCAGAACCACGCGCCACACCAGGGACCGTACCTGATCGCCAGGCCCTGCGCAGGAAGGCGAGGGTGAAAGACAGCGCCACTCAGGATCCCACTCTGGCGAGACCCTCCACGCCTTTGCCCACAGGCCGGGAACTGCAGACGACACAGGGAACATACCAGCAGTCAGCAGCGGAGGGTGCAGACACCACATAAAATCAATACCATGAAAGGCTGTGGGGCAAAATCCGACCAATGGCTTTCCTCAAGTGACAGGATCACAAGTGGACTTTTAGTTTTGTTGTTTAACAACTTTGATCAAATGTCTTTTGTAAAGGAAAAGTTTCCTCTTTAAGAATAAAAGAAATATACAAGGAATTTTAAATGTCCTGGGAAGATGCTCATGAAATGACCTCACAAAGGGAGATTCTAGTGGGAGGAAGCAGACGATAAACAGATAAATACATAAATGGAGGGAGAGTAAACCCCACATGGGAGACCAGGCCGGAGAGGAGCTGGAAGAAGAGCAGTAGAGCCGCACAGGGTAGCCTGGCTCACCCCAGCTCCGGGTCCTCCACTCGGGGTCTGCTCCTGGCCGCGGTGAAGCCCTGTGTGCCTGACCCACCCCGTTGGGAGCCACCCTCTTCTGAGGGTAGTGCTCATCACCCTCCTGTGTCTTTTTAAGCTTTTCACTACTTGAGTATGTTAATTTCACAAGTCACAGTTTCATTCCGCATGTTGTAAAAGGTTATGCAAATGGTACACCATAAAAACCACCCTGTACAAGAGAGAAAAGGCTAGAAAAAAAAAATGCATAATCTCACCTCAATCATACACAGCAAGTAACTGTATTTTACACTTTACACCATATTTCTAATATATGTGTATTACAGTATTGCTACTATAGACTATATTCTCCAAATTTACTAAAATTTGCTTTCACGATCAGGGGAAATTCTATAAAAACAGGTGATACGGAGTTCCAGACCAGCCTGGCCAACATGACGAAACCCTGTCTCCACTGAAAATACAAAAATTAGCCAGGGATGGTGGCAGCACCCCTGTAATCCCAGCTACTCCCAGGCTGAGGCAGGAGAATCGCTTGAACCTGGGAGGCAGAGGTTGCAGTGAGCCAAGATCGCACCACTGCACTCCAGCCTGGG